TTTATCCAAGGAACCTCCTTATAGGTCCAATTCTCATTTGGAGGCCACTGTGGTGGAACAAGTCGTGGAGTAGTTAATCTGGCTGAGAGCATTTTTGAATGCAGTTTTTCACTCGAACAATGGAAGGGAGGAAATTGAAAACCCTGCACATTCTTTTTCTTCTTGACCACTTTATAAGGTTTGACACCATGTTTAACTGAATAAGACCTCATTATATTAACCTCAGCTTCTTTCTCGACGTTAGTATCGTCAGAGCCGTTTATCTTGCCATTCTTGATAGGTATTTTGATCATTTCTCCAATCATGTCGATGTCAGAGAAATTATTAGTGGCAGCCCCTATCGTCAGAGCCGTTTATCCATCGTTGTGAATACTGTCGAAAACTTTTATTGCACTTTATATTCATGTTTTGTAACATTGTTCGATCAGGGGCCATATCAGCCATGTGATTGTATTGACCCAAAAAGGCTTGAGATAAGTCCCTCCAAGAACGTATTTGAGTACGTTTTAGCTGATTATACCATTTGGATGCAGACCCGGATAAACTGTCTTGGAAATAGTGGATCAATAATTTTTCATTCTCTACATAGCCAGTCATACGACGACAGTACATAGTGATATGATATTCAGGATATGTGGTCCCATTATACTTCTCAAAATCTGGAATTTTAAAATTTGGTGGGAGAATTAAGTCGGGGACCAAGTTCAGTTCTTTGGCGTCAAACTCATAAAATGACTCAACCGTCTCTCTAGAAGTAGTACAAAATTCATTTGGCTTTAACCCAGAAGCAGTAAGACAGTCAGTGGGGAACGAAACTCCATCATGATATTGTTGTTTCTTAACAGTGAAGTGAACTGGTGATTGGATTTCCTGACGTACAGAGGTGTGCTCAGGAATATGAGCAGGCGTAATACCCAGAGGATTTGTGGAGTTTTCAACAAGATTCTTTCTAGCAGTCAAATGCTTCTCAATCATTTCTTTCATATTGTTCAGTAGATCGATCTGAGAATTAGCTTCGATTTGTGCCTACTTGCTCCTCAATTCTTCCTGTATCTCTTTTTGCTCTATCTTTAATTTGGATAGCCTATCCTCAGTTTCTTTAGACATTTTTCTTGTGTCGTGCTAAGCGTTCTTGCTTCAAGGAAAAACCAAGATCACTTCATTTGAAATCCTTATTTTAATGAATGTTTTAATGTATTATGACATAAAAAAATGCAAAGATGCCAAAGGCAAATGTAAATATGTGAATGAAATAATAAGAATACAAATTGTGCAATACAAAAGCAAACATAAAAATACAAATGCAAAGATGCCAAATGTAAATATGCAATTGTAAAAATGTAAATGTAAATTATTTAAAATACCAGAATAGGACATCCAGTTATATTAAGACTGCCCTTTTCTTTGATATTGAAAATAAATAAACATTATTATTAATTAAATATGTTTTAATGCATGATGTAAATTTAAAAATGTAAATGTAAATACAAACGTAAAAATGTACAAATGCAAAATACAAATGCATGTATGAAAAGGTGTTACTCAAGAGTGATCATCTTAGAACAGATTTCATTGAACGCAAAAGTTCGGTACATCAAACAAAACTTTACTATAGGGATATATTTCATTCCTAACTTCTCCAAAGCCAAATTAGTCTATCAACTTAAGGGACATATTGCTTGTCTGGACTGCAACCTCTTCCATGACATTCTCTTTCATTTTCTGTGTCACTTCTCGGAGTTGCTCATTTTCCCTTGTAAGAGATCTTTTCTGTCCAAGAAGTTCTTGAACAAGATTCATATATGTTGCAGTTCTTTTTCAGCTTGGTGACCCTGTTATCCATTCTTCGGGGTACTTCCTAGGCCAGCATTTTGAAAGGTTTGACTGAGAAATCTTTATGCATGGCTTCCATTTCTGTGCTCAATTCTTGTTTTGGTCATTCAAGTCCTTCAATAACATGCTTGAGCTTCATAAAAACCTCCACTACTCTGAATGTCCCGACTGATATTCTTACTGTAAACTGCTTTTGGTATCAATCTGGTAGGATCTTTGTGTAATACTTTTGGTATTAATATAACCGGTTCTCTATGTACAGAACTTCCCTTGATCCTCGTAGTTTCTTCAGGATGCCTTTCCTTGGCCGCATCATATTTTGTTTGATCATAAAACTTTTTGTCCATTTACGATTTCTTTCTAATATGATGAACAGTCTTTCAAGTAAACACCTTTTGGTTATGCCATGATCATGCAACAAAAGAAATCAATATGAACAGATTAGAGCAATGTAAAATGCTTGAAAAAAAATAAAAAAAAATAGAATAGTTATTACCAACTAATGGAAAAAAATCTATCTATCAAGGTATAAATCTTAACCTCATGCTTTCTAGTTCCATGCTTTGTTTGGAAAAAGTTAACCTAACCACATGATTTCTAGTTCGCATGCATTTATTCAGGAAAAAGAAAAGGAAATAAAATAAATTAAAAGCTAGAGCTTATTTCTCCTTTGTGTATACCTATGAACAGAGGTTCAGTATTGTCTTAGATCAGGTGAATTTCTAGGGTTTATTATATGCAGAGTTTCAGTTCTAGGAGTAAAGGTACTCGAATTGTCCTTGTTGATGCCCTCTTGGGCTGCCAACCCTCAATCATAGTCCACTACAGACTTAAGCAGACCGAGTTCAATTCGAGGGGACACATTTCTCTATGCCTGACACGGAGAATAAATTCTCACGAAGACAAAAAGCATATGAACCCCGAAAGTTACTTGCTAGGTCTGACACGGAGAATAAATTCTCACGAAGACGTCGCTTTCACTCCCACTTAAAATGGACAAACTCAATTATAGAGCTTTATGTAATGCAAGTGTTGTGTGTGAGGAGAAATGTTCAAACCTCTAACAGATAAATAAATAATGAAATAAAATGCTTGCAAATAAAATGAATAATATAAATACTATAAAAATATATAAAAAATTTGAAAGAAAGAATTATAAATTAAATATATGAATTTTAATTTTCTAATTGATAGAGACAATTAATAATTGGTTTTAAAGTTTGACGTCCCCAGTGGAGTCGCCAAGCTGTCGTAACTGGTTTTCATCCGAGCACGAATTTTTTACTTGGCGTGAAAAATAATGTGAATAAATGGTTTTGAAAATAATTTGGGAGTCGCCATCGGCCTTTTGGGTCAGGTAGGTCGAATACCTAAAAAATATCTTTTAAAAGAGTTTTTAAGAAAACATCAATTAAAAGATAAATGATCTGCGTTTAACCAAAAATTCATTTTTTTAAATAAAAAGGATCCGTGGTCGGTTACGTTTAGGGAAGGATTAGCACCCCTACAACCCAAAATTGGTACTTTATTAATTATAAATTGTCTCTATTATTGGAAATTGTAAAAGTTCAAAAATATATTAATTCATAATCATGTATTTCAATTTATTAATGTAATTTTAAGAAAAATATTAATATACATATCTTTATTTTTATAAATAAGATATTTATTTACTTAGAAATATCAGAAAAAGACTTCTAGGTGCCTTAAGACAGCTCTTTTCTTCGATATTAAAAAATAAATGAATAACTAAAAAAACATTTTTCTAAAAATAATTAAAATAAATTAATATATAATTATAAAATAGGATATTTATTATTTAAGAATAGAAAGACTTCTAGGTGCTTTAAGACAGCCCATTTCTTAATATTAAAAATAAATAAATATTAATATTTAAACAAATATATATATATGACTAATATGAAAATAAACATAAAATAAGTGAATAGTTAAAGAACTAGAAATAAAGAATTAAAAATGTAAAACAAAAATAGAAAATTAAAGTAATGAAATTAAATAAATAAAAATAAATCGCGTAAATTAAAATATAAAGTAAAGAACTAAAATAAAAGATATTGAATATAATGCCCAAAAATAAAATAACTCAGAAGATTAAAAGAAAGAATTAAAATAATTAAAATATAATAAAATAAATCATAGATATCAAAATGAAAGAAAAAAAAATAGCAGCTAATTTGAAATAAAAAATTAAGAACTAAAGTGTAAATATGTACCTAATTATAGGGATTATTTAGGGATTTTTTCTATTTAAGTGACTATAATATAAAGATAAGGTAAAAGTTTAGTGGGTTATATAATTCGACCCTGGGTTAGTGACCAGGATGTAAATAGTGCTTAAATTTGAGGGCCTAAGGATAATTAACCACTAAATTAGTGACTAAAACGAAAAAAAAGGTGCTGAAATTATGGGTACCATTTGGTGATTAATCCATAAAATATGAACAAAGCCAGAAGCTCCCAGAAACTGGTGACCTGACGCGTGATTTACCCAAAACAATTAAAATGAAAACCACTCCCTTTATCTCTTCCAGAGACGTTAAAACTAAGAAATCCTTCCCTCTTTATCATCTTCTTCTCTCACACTCTCCCTCTCTAACTCAATATGCGGTCGAGAGCTTCAAAGCTCCTCAGCAACATCGCCGGCTATGACGCCGGTCACGATAAATATGGCCAAATAGGCCATTAAACCGAGACCAAACAGCCTCTAAGAGGCTTTCTTCCTCTCTCTCTTTTGCTCGACCGAGAGCTCCACACAAAACAAGGACCAAACCGGCTCTAGATTCCGACGAGGAGCTCGAGGAAAGGTAAACTCACCCCCTCTTCCTATATTTCTACTCGAAAAAACAAGAAAATAAAGAAGAAAACGAGTAACGAAAAAAATGAACTTTTGGAAATGTTGTATTGATTTCGAATAGGTTAAAAAAAATCCTTTCTTACACTGTAATTTTATAGGTTATATATATTAACCTATTTACATGATTAAAAAATAAATAATGATTGTTTTTTTTGTGGTGAGCTGTAACTGGGAAGCTGCTGGATAGGGGATATACTATTGTTTTTGGAACGTGTACGGTGTTCGAGAGGCCATGGGTGGAGCTACCGAAAGCTTCTGAAACATGGAGGGATAGCTGGTGTTCCTCTGAAATCTACTTAATAGAGCAGGGAATAGCTTGTGTTGCTGGAAGGAACTGGAACACTATTGTGGTAGAGCTACCGACGTGGAGGGACAACTGGTGTTCCTCTGGAAACTGCTGGAACCGTCGAGTGAAGCTGTAACGTGGACGGGCTGCTGTTATTTTAAAAATGGTGATTACAGACATAAGGCTTCTCACGAGAAATAGGCATGTATGGTCCTTGGATTTGAGTTGCAGTTGCAAGCTCCTCAGCAGTAGAATCACCAGCCTATTGGAATAAGAAATAAACAATATTGAAAAATCTAAAAGCAAGAATCGGGGGACTTAATGCTTTAATCTTTGAAGGTAGGGCCTATAAATTTACCTTGAACTTGCGAGCGCGCGCCTTGGGAAGACAACAAGCTTGGCCTTATAGGTCTTAAGCCTCTGAACATTGGCCTGAAGACCTTCAAGGGATCTGTTCTTAAGGCGATGATCAACTACGATACCAATAGTTGGGGCAAGTCTTTGAAATGCCAGCATCCTGGTAAGAGAATAGGGTGATTTCGGGATTCAATTTAAGCAAATAGAAGCTAAATCGAGGTGGGAATCCTACAGTATACAAAAATCTTACATACAATTTATCTACACTTAACAATGCATCAACTCAGTTCTTCATCCTTTTTTCCCATAATTAAACTTGTCTGTCACAAGAAAACTAGTAATAGCTAAACTTGTTCACTTAATCACAAAAAGATTACTATAATGCTTAAAATTATTGTTAGATAAATGAATTTTATCAGAAACCTAATTCACTAATATATATATATATATATATATATATATATATAAGATTAAGTTTTCTAAACTAACGGTAACCCAAAGATCATAAGAAGAAATAGAGCAATTAGAAAAGCAGAGCTTAAGCTTTTCAAGGGTGAAACCCTTTCCAGCTCTTAATTTCATGTTGTACTTCAAAGTTGGCTATGGACAAGGGCGAAGGTGTCCAGTTGGCCTGGGAAAGATCCTCACCGCCTTCTTTTGTCTTGCTGCAAATCCCAAATCACCATTATCAAACATTGATTGCAATAGAATTACTCCATCATTCTTTCAAAATAAAATAAATTAAAGATTAAGGCCAAAAAAAAACCCCACCAATTCTTCTGTTCTTTCGTGCTTGTTGATTGAACCAAGTTTTCACATAGTTCTGCCAGTGCTTCTAAAAGTGCCCGTTTGGCACAGCATTGTTATGCTTCACCATGACTTCCCAGTCTTTAAAAGCAGAAACCAAAATCACAAACAATCTGAAATGAAAAATGGAAATAATATATGATATGAAAATGAAAAGAAAAGAAATGAAACCCTAGGCCCTCTTTTAGGGCTTCTATTGGCTCGTTTATTTGTATTATATGTTTTCATTACACGGCCTTTATTAACCCTAGCATCAGACGGTTGTAAAAGAATTGGGCTCAAAATGTAGTCATTTAGGTAAACTATACAAGTAGTCACCAACCTATTGTTTCATACTATTTGGTCACTAAATTAAATTTTTGAAAAAAACATTATTTTACATAGAATTTTTTCTCTCCTAAATAGATGATGAGGTTTATCAATACTTAATTGATTCAAACAAAATCAAAGAATATAAATTAGTGTATTTCAAGAATGAAAGAAGTCGAACAAAAGAACCCTAGAAACATGGACGAATGCAAGATTTTATATGAGATGAACTTATAATATTTTAGATGAGAGCGAACTTATAAAGTTCTAGGCGACGAAAAAATATTATTAATAAAACATATAAAAAAATTAAAAATTAAAAATTTCGATGACTATCCTATCCATCCTTTTGTCTATTCCTGCCCTGAAGAGTCTTTGCACCTGAACAGTGAATTATACTCAAAATTTGTTATGTTTTATTAAAACATATATTTAAATTTATAATCTCAAAATTTGTTATAGTTTTACTAAAACATATATTTAATTTATTATACTTTTTCTGTGTTAGTGACAAGAAAATGAAAAAAAAGAAATATCTTGTGAGTTATTCCTCCTTATTATTCATTTTCAAAAATATATATGGGGTTAATTTCTGCTTAAGTCACTACAGTAAAATTGGCTTTTTACGGCATTTTTTACTATAGCGGCATTTTTGAGCACCCAAAAAACACATGCGGCATTAAGAAAAACGCCGCAAAATGCGCCGCGGAAAATAGCGCCGCTAAAGTTCACGGTGTTTGTTAAACACATGCGGTGTTTTTTCACAAACGCCGTAATAAGTGTTGATATTTGCGGCATTTTTATGCAACGCCGCAATAGGTATGGTATTTAGCGGCGTTTTCAGGGTACAAATGCTGCTATAGGATGGTATAGCGGCGGTTTAGGATACAAACGCCGCAATAGGTCTGGTATATAGCGCCGTTTTAGGATACAACGCCGCTAAATGTTAATATTTAGCGGTTTTTTAGATACAAACGCGCTAATATATGACATTGCGGCGTTTTTGTTACAAACGCCACTAAATAACCGAATTTAATCAATTAAAAAATTATTGTCGATACCCCAAATCTATTTTTTCACCTGTTCATTATCCAAGAAACATGACAACAATAACATCAAACTCTATCAATAACAAGCAACATCAAATCCAATAATAAATAAAGTTTTCATTTAGTAATATAAGTTCAGTTAAACACGGTTCAGTAACATTAACAGAATGATGATAACATAAATGAGACTATGATGGTGGATTTGAGGTTGAGTTTTCTGTAGCATTTGCATCATCTCATTTAGTCGTTTTCAAAGTCTTCACATCTCTGCTGATATGTTGTTTCTCTCTGTGTTGCCACTGCTTCCCTTGCTTCATTTTCCGCTTTCATGTTAGCCATTTGTTGATCCATATCAACCAACTTTTGTTTTAAAGACTACTTCTAATTGGGAAGATTGAGACTGTGATGACGTGTAATGTGATGAACTGGATCCAAAATATTTGGTGGGAGTAACAAATGATCTTTGACGCACCCGCCATATCTTTCAGGACCCAAAACGTCATTAATAGCTCGTTTTCAATGTCATCATCATTACAAGACCTTGACTCGAACTAGTAGCGTGATAATTCCCTTTTCTCCCTCAATTTTTCCTATAATAAGGTGAATAAATAATTAAAATGGAAAAAATGTCATAGAAAATAAAATAAAGTCAGGTAAATTTAAAACATCTACCAATAAACGTACCATAATTTCTGCAGCTTCAGCAGTCATAGGAGTGTCATCCTTCTTCGTAGTGTCGTGTCGAATAGTTGGATTGGCCAACTTTAGAACCAGATGTATTTTCCTACAATGCACCATAATATAATTACTCTGAGTTAGTATGTACATGGAATATAAAAAACAATGTCAATAATCTATAATACCTCCTCATTAGTTATACAAGCAAAGCTCTTCGATCCAGCCGTGTGCGTAAATTTTGTTGTTGCCTGCTAGCAACACCAACATGTTCTCGGTCCTACAATTTCAAACAAACACTTTTAATGATGATTATAATTCGTTACAATTATTAATGAAAAAATCATACTTGTCCTTTTGTGAACTCCAAAATCTGACTGCATCTTCCCATTGGTACCTAAGCATTCCAGGTGGGACTGTTTGCAGCTTTCTTCTAGGCTGAGATCATTCTTGAAGTATTTCTTTAAGGAGCTCTTGTGGTCCTCCATCTCTTCCCTAACGCTTGCTTCACATAATTGTCAAAGACCTCTAAAGAAAATTTCTCCTATACACAAATAAGTGTGCATCGTAAGTATACATTAGTATTGAATTTGTATAGAGTATATAATAATGACATTATTACTTAACAAATCCAACGCCTGATTTTTGTTACTATTAGGCATTTCGCGCCACGACTCATAATTAATCGGTAACAGATTCGCATTACGTCCAACTATGCCTAAGTAACCTGCTAAAGATGTGTTCTGGTAATAGGTTGACCGCATCATTTCTTGAAACTTTGACACGATGCCAGGAGGAAGTTAATATAATTCCTTCAAAGTTGTACGTCCTCGAGTCTTGCGTGTTCCAGCATTTTCAATACATAAGAAATTATTAAATATCAGTTTGAAAATGAACAAAGTAGTAAATAAAGTTCGAAGATTACCTTGAATTTTACTTCTTTTTAACAGTTTCAGGAACTTCGAGGACTCAGGTGCATTCGATTCCTCGTTATTTCTTTCTCATGGTCTTCAGAAGCTCGGACAACCCACAAATCATAATTTTCTCCGACATGATATCTGTAATAAACAAACATGTGTAATAAAAAACTCATTAATTAATGAATATATTGAAGGATAACATGTTAAAGGTTATAACATTATAATAAATAAATGAAGATATAAAATATACGCATTCTTATGTAATGTCAGTCCTCATAAATCTTCATCAAATTCCTCCTGAACCCATTGAAATTGTGTATTTACAATAGTTTCATCTAAGTTTTGTGGAAAAGAGGTAAACATTCTGATCTTATTTCAATTTCATCTCTACTTCATCCCCTATGTCTAACAAGTCTCTGGGTGTATTTTGGAGCACAACATACAACCGTCACCCATTGGATCGTGACAATAAATACTTGTTTCACTTGCAAAGAAAATACATATGGTTCATCCATCAAACGTTGACCCGTGTGAATTAATCGAGAGAAATTCACCATTGTAAAACCGAATTTATCTCTTTTATGCATCTGTTTAAATCAACCCATCACACGAAACATCACAACCTTTCGTTTCCATAATAATCTAACTCATAATGTCCGTAAGATTTCCATAATAATACTCTCCCTCCTGCGGATTATTATCCTGACAGTAGCATAACTTGTAGTCGACGAAGTACTACGACTCCACAATTTTGTGTCATCCTTAATCTTTCATGAGATTTCGTGTGGAACTAACTCATTAATGAGGAAGGCATTATATCTTTTAACTATTCTATTCGGACCTTGAGAAATTCATTTAACATCTTCACTAACTTCTCTCCCACTCAAACCTATTACACATTAATGGTGAATTAATTTGCATTGATATCAATATGAAGCAAGATATATTATTATAAGTATTCCGTAAGATTTAGTGCTTACCGTCTGGCCTAACCATTCATGAAAAGTTTTGTGAATAACTTATGCAGCTCTCGCTGATTTAATCTTCGGGAGCGTGCATGAGATCTCAATACTTCTTTAAACTCACTATAAAGTATGTTATGTCATTAAAAACTTATATATAATAGATTAAGAGATTTCATATAGCTTGGGTCCAAAGACTTACGTGCAAAAGGGATCTATTGAATCGTGATGGAAAAGAACATATCGGTGTGCTTGTACCCAAGACGTGTCATCTAAGTGTGCAATTTCAACTTTCCCTAATGGTTGACCATAACTTCCAAAAAATAATGTTAGGTAAGTCATTAGTACTTAACACATCATTTCGATTGGTCTATTCCATCTTCAACATCTTCCAAATATCTAGAGAAAATGTCATACATTCCTGCCAAATACCCTTCAGCAATTGATCCTTTCGGAT